ACACATTATGCAAAATAAATGGTGATTCCTCTTGGACAGACTTGTCTTTGATTTATTTAATAATAATCCAGCCATCGGACGGAAAAATTCAACAAAAAGAAAATTTTAAATGTACTGTCGCCAGGGGGTAGCTTCAAAATCTACATCTTCCAGCGTTTTTCTAGTAGATATAAAGCAGAACCACCAATTGGCTAGATGGATGAGCAGTAAGACGTCTGTGTGTCACCGATTCTTTTTATTTTTAATTGGATGTTTGTGTTTTTAAAGGACCTTTTTGGCGGCATGAAGCCTAAAAAGGAAGGCCTGTCGTTATTAATGTGTTTGTGTGTAGTCCGAAATGCAAAATAAACTGTTATTCCTCTTGGACAGACTTGCCTTTGATTTAAAAATATTTTTTAATATTTATTATTAATTTGAAGATAGATTAAGTATATTATTTTATAAACTTCTTTCTCGAGAGATACTGCTGTCTATAATCTTCAAATAATCTCGAAATATAATGCAATTTTCATGTTACTAAAATAATAAACTGAAAACGTTAATAAATAAGTGTGTTTTTGCGTTAATTAATGACTTATTTATCGTGTTTTTATATTCTTCTATGACATTTTCGTATCTAGCTTCAATTTTATGAGCTAGCATAAAACGTTATCACTTACAATGAACGTATATTGTTTTATTACAAGATAAATATTTGCAGTACATTACAGAAATATGTTCGTAACATAGAGCTATATCTTTTCGATACCAAGTTTATCAGAGATAAATGATTATTTATGTACATTATTTACATTTTATTTCATTTAATCTTTTAACGTGTTGACAGATACAGAAAAATATTTTTAAAATTCTTTTAGAAATTAAAAAAATAAATATATATGAGAATATAAAANTTGTACGAGTCACTTAGATTTTACAAATACGTGAGCCATTCACAGCCCGGCACACGTATTTGTAAAATCTAAGTGACTCGTACAACATGGAATTCATATAACACGGAATTATCTACAGTGTTATAGGGGGGTCTACTGTATATAATTTTTATCTTTCGATAAAGAAGTTAATATCTTAAGTAGTAGAAGTACGATTAAGGAATTTCATCATTTTTTTTAGAAATTAAGATATTATATGATAGATACATCATTTATAGGACGACTGCATAGAAATCCTCGTAGAACTGTTTTATATATGAGTGATTACGAGTCATTCAGAAAAATTATAGTATTTCAGAATTGGAAAAATTCGAACATTGCATGATTCGGTATCTTTTTTTATTTTTAGATCAAATAGTTATAGAAAAAGAATAGTATCCAATTTATCTTTATTTATTATTTCCTTTTTTTCTCTTAGAGGAATAGGAAATTAAACATTATACAGGCGAGAAGTATAAATTTAAAAAAATCAATAAATACGATAAAAATATTTAATATTATATTTAAAAATAATCATTTTTATATTTAATATCTCTAATTTCTAAAACTTGTTATCAAATTATGTTTTCAATTAATTTAAATTTAATACAAATGTAAATTGAACGTAAACTAATAATTCGAATCATGTTAATATACTTAATATAATTATTATATAGACAAATCATACAATAATATACGTGGAATAATTATGAGAGAAATTGTGACATTGTGTTACTAGTAGAATTTACGTGTGATTTTTTTTTTAATTGTTACTAATGCTGTATTTTATATAGTACTGTACATATACTCATTTCATTAGAATTAATAAATTTAGCATAATATTTACAAATTGTTTTATATGTTATATGAATATGTAATTTCGAATAAGTAATTTCAATGTTTGTTAGTTAATTTAATAATAATGAAATAGCAGACAATTGTTCCATTTAAAGAGTTTTGGCTTGATATATAAAAGTTTTATAAGTTAATATTTTAAAATTAAAATTGTATTTTTATTAAGTTACAATGCTAGGCTGCAATTTTTAATCGTCTTTTAATTTTAAAATAAAATAGTTGATTAATCTGAAGCATCGAATAATTGCATCGATTTTTAATATAACAATATATTGTAACGAGACTATGTCTGTATCTCTTTTTTATTTAACCAAGTGAAAAACAAACTCCTTGAAAATACTTCTCTTCTGAATTGACGTACAGCTGCACGCAATTCTGCCAACTTTCATAGAAAATCTTCAGATCATTTCCTAAATGGCTGTCGAGGATGTCCGTCTTTTTGCTTTTACATATTCTACTGACAAAAAAATGAGTTTCTTTGAGCATTGGGTGCCGTGTTTGGCGAATATGATTGGAGCTCAAGCACAGTGATGTTGTGATTAAGCTAAAAACTGCTACACAGGTAAGCATTGTAGGCTGGCGCGTAGTCTTGGTGCAAAATCTATTCGCTTTTCCACAATTGTGATCGTTTTCTTCTCACGCATTCGTGTAATTTCGTCAAGACTTCAACCTTCTGTCTTTTCGAATCACATTCTCGCACTTTTTTTAATGTTATCATCGATAACTACTGTGCGTAAGCGGCCTGGGTGATCATTATCTTTTACGCTTTCTCTGCTTTCCGAAAATCGTTTATGCCATTCAAAAACTCACGTACAGTACACGAGACATGCTCTCTTCACCGTCAATAATTGAAGAATTTCTTCTGTTTCACATTAAACTTTATGTTAACTCGTTATTCTCTTTTGCACTCCAACATTTTCCGATTGAGGGTAAGAAATAGTCTATATTTAAATATGCATTCACTCGTACTGACTAAAGGATGGAGTTGAGCTTTGTCTCACGGTGACAGGTTAGAACATAGTCTTTAACCATATCTTTGTTTCTCTCCCTTCAAGCTATGTGGTTCCACTCGTATTTTTCGTGTCGACACTCATATAACTTAAAGTTATTCATTTATCTGCGTACTTCAAATGTTTAAAACCATATATTATTATTTATTTCAAATCTCCATTTAAGTATCTGTAGGATTTATGTGTATTTATTTACTAAATCGATCTACAGGAAGCCCCAATTACGTCTGTTTATAGCATACAAAGGAATATAACATAATAAGAAAAATTGCTACCTGATAGATAGAGGTACTTGCAGATATAATTGTTCTAACAAAGCAGGAGTTATAAGATAAAAAAGCTTCGTTTTTTATTATTAATTTATATTGTTGTTATATTTACTAATTAACGTTTAAGCGCTCATCTCACTATAGTTTTAAAGCGATCGAATTTTTATCGTACATACTAATAGATTGTTTGCATGCATTATTTCCATTTATAATTTAATCACGAATTGATAACAGTTTATAAATGATATCCCAGAATATAATATTGACAATACTAACGCAAAATATGACTCTATATGTTTGATTACAGAAGAAGAAATTATCTTTAATATTGTGTTTTAAAAAAATATAATCTAAACTAATAATAATTTAGAAAGAGATTAAAATGGCGGATTCATTTCCATTTTTTGAACCACGTGTAAATTGATAAGTAATGCGTGTTTCATATTTTAATAAATGATAAGAATTAGAATTGTTTTTCATAACAATCATTATAAGTATACCAGTTCGTGTTTCGAATTCATTACTTGCCTTTCTCTCTCTTTAACCTTGTAAGACTTTTATTTGATACAAGGTTAACAACACACATGATAAATAACACTCATAAAATAATATATATATATAGAAGACTTTGCTCTTTGCACGTAATATTTTATGGAGTTTTTAAAGCAATTATTTATTTAAAAATGATATTTAAGTATAGTCTTATTTATATTCACACAACAAGTATACAATAGCATATAAACATACAAATATAGAGTTATTTATATTCATACATTTATCTATCTTAAGTTTATATTTTACAATAATTGTGATAAATATTATATAGCAATTTCCCCCATTTTATAGTAATAAATGTCTATTTTAAATATGATTTTTAAGTTTTATATTCCTTTAAAAAAGAAAAAAAAAACAAACATCTATATACATGATTTTTATTAATTTATAATTTATATATTTATTTGAATTAAAAATATACATAATTAATGTATTCTAAATGCATTTTTCCAATTTCAGTTTACTGTTCTATCGAGTCTATCAGTTATTTTATCATCTACACTTCTCATTAAAATTACATTAACTACTTTAAATTCAATGAAGTACTACTACATGATCTCTTAATGATATAAAAATTAAAATTCAATTCATACTGATGTAAATCTCGATAATATTTTAAATAACAGCTTTTTGTTTAACAAATCATAAACTATATTTGTTGAAAAATTGTTTAATAAGGGCAATAAATATAATCTAAATGTTAACAGTTATAACAGAAAAAAAAATCAATAAATTAGCATTTCATTTTACAATTTTTGTTATTTATTCATTATTAATATCATATTTTTAACCATTTTTTTATCGATATAAATTATAATTCGTAACGATTAAAGTGTGGGAAATATATGTAAATCTTTAGATTACTTCTTAAAATATTTTCATATAAGAATTGTATTTACTTAAATGATTTTTTTATCTTTTTAAGAAGAATTATACTTTTATTTTGACCTCATTTTAACTATTTCTATAAATATTTCTAATGTTGAAGGGCATAAATCTTGGTATAAATTCGATCTGTCGTGCAAATGGTTCATAGAGATGTAGGCCTGTATAACCAAAAAAAAAAAAAATTGTATTGATATCCATTAGCCGTATCTTATTAATTCTATACTTATTAATATTCAATGAATTCCGCTGTCATTATATTCATTAAGAGTCTATAAATGATGTGGAGATAACAGATGCGAATTAAGTTATATTCGATACTATTTCTATATCGGACGATTTTTAAAGATCATTTTTAACTGTATTAAGATAATTTTTTTGAATTTTAATAATGGTTTCTACTACTGATACAAGTACAGTACTTATCACAAAATGGAGAGCTGCCAAAATAGATTTTATATGCGTAAAATGATGCTAGAAATTAAATATGCTATTTCTACCTGGGCGTAGTCGACCAAAATGTCAAGCTAACTTTCAAAACTGTGTTGCTACATAACTGTTTTCATCAAAATTCTGTTTTAAAATATTTTAAATAATTATATTTTAAAGATTTTTTATAACGTTTATTATATTAAGTAATATGATTCTTTCTATTCTATGATTAAAAATGATATCCCCCATAACAATAATGATCTAGGGATTTCTAATAAGCTATTATGATATATTAATTATGTGAATGTTTTAGGATGAACCATGTCATCTGAGTTAGAGACAGCATTACCTCCTGTAACGACAGTAGGACGCCATTCGGTAACATATGGACAATCACCGTCCGCCAGGTAAGTGAATTAAAATTGTATTATAATATAGACAAACAGTAAAGACCAATAAATATTTAATCATTATAAGTAGTGTCATTTAATAAAGTTATATTTTAATTTACTTAAGAGAAAATCTCGTAAGCCTTTGCCTAATAAATATACAATACAACCGCACACACACATATATTTCTTTTTTTTTTCATTTAAATTATGAATGTAAAGTTATATCATATATTTATAGTATCGTAAAATAAGATTTTATTGATCGTAAAAACTTTTATAACCGGGTAATATAGTTAAATATTATAAATATAGATATGAAGTGGTATTATCTAGATCGATCTTAATCCCTTATCAATAACTGTCGTTTATATATGTTTTTTTTTACTTTCTTTCTTAAACCGAATATGGGTAAATATCATTAATGTTTATAAATTTTATATTGTCTCGATACTTGCGATAAATTTTTAAATTTTTTTTTTTTATATATGCGATCAATATACTAACGATACATGAAAGTGTGCAAAATGCTTTGTTATTGAAGAATGGCTCCTTGCCAAAATAATTTGATATGTATGACTAAGTATCAAATTTACAATTTGCTGTCTATGGTAGCCTTTTTAGGAAATGTTAGCTTAATATCATTAATTTTGCTCTCTTAGTGTTTACAGGACGGAATTAGCAAATAAAGTATTCAATATCACCAATACTCTCTTTGCTCATTTCGCCCTGTAAGCACTAAGAGAGCAAAATTAATGATATTTTCTAAAATAAGATATTAAAGAGTTGTTGTTCCAATTAACAGTAGCGTAACTAAAACCAATATAAAGAATATTGTAATGAGCAAACTTGTATATCTGTAGATCCACTAGTGTTCTTGGATATTATACAGTGCTGTACAGTACATAGATATGTCTAAGTAATTTATTATATTCAAATTGTTTTGTATTTATTTAATTTTTTCTTAATTTATTTATTTAAAAAAAAAAAGTAAGGGAGTTCTGGTCTCTTAGACCTCTCTTCGTTTAAGCTACTGTCAATAAATAGTTAAGATATTGAAAGGTCATAAGTTTAGTGTATAAGATTTAGAAAAATAAATGAAGTATATTTATGGTAAATTTGCTATTTGATAATCAATATCACTTGAATACTTTCTGTCAGATTGCAAATTTTGATTGCATTTGATTGATGTATATTAAATAATAAACTTGACTAAATTTATTTCATTCCTAATTGCATGATACTGACATATTTAGTGATGTTAAACATATAATTTAATAAATATTAATGTTATAATATTGATGATTTATTATAAATTTCCATGAAAATATGGTTTAAATGATATCATTTCGCTAAAATTTGCGACTTTCCTAGAAATATATTTTATTTAGATATTGACTTACTTAACATTTTAAATGTATTATTTATTTATGTTATCTTCTGTATGTACTATTCATATATAAATTTAATATTTAGATACGTTGTTTGTTATATTTTCATTAAATTTATGTTGAATTTTTCTTTCTTTTTTTTGGAATCGACAAGTTGCTAACTGGAAATCTATATACAGTGTTTGTACTGATATATAATATTGATTATCCTTGAAATCATTCGTATAAGAACTAATGACATAAATTGAAGAAAATACTTATTAGTTTTATAAAACAAGATATACTTAGTTTTAAAATAATTCCACGTCTTGTTTTATATTAACAACTGAAAACAATTATGTAGGAATTGTATGAGATCACGTAGTACATGTCTCGCACGCTACAAATCCGGTAAGGACTTTTTACGTGCAAAATATTACAAATATATACAAAAAAAAAAGAACAGATCAATATGATTTTCGTATAAAATGGTACATAAAAAATGAATAGAACATAAAAACATCTACATTATTAAAACACCGATGCTTTATTAGAAGTCCCGACACAATGTTAAAGTGTACAAAAATCTTTTGGGAGACACAAGTCCCTAGAGTTTGGGTGGAGGTTAGTGACATGTTATATAGGTTCAAATTAGTAAAAACTAAGTATTAAATTGACAATAAAATAATAAAAATTACAATTTTATAAATTAAAAACTGTAATAAAATTATTAATAGGAAGAACAATAATATATTTAAATAATTTTATACGTATATTTATTTCAAGATATAGCAAATTATCGGAAAAATTCCGTCAGAATGCTCCCAGTGAATTTCAATGTTCCGTTTTCTGCGGAGGAAAGAAATGCAAATATGAAAGTCCTAAGAACTGGAGTCATGAAGACATGACAATAAATGGAATTTATTCACATTGGTAAACTATTTTTTATTTAAAAAAAACTGTTCATTTTAATATTTTAATATAATTAGTTTTGACTTTAGCGTATTAAACTGAGTGCTTTCCTTTTATAAATCGTAAAATCGATTTTCATAAGTGATGCGTTTAAACAATCGTGTCTTGTTTCAATATTAGAATGTTATTTTTGTATCGCGAATCCGTGTACTTTAGTACAACAGAACTGAATTTTTTTTTTGCATTAAATATAGAATTTTACACCTTTTTTTTTTATTTAGGGTTACAGACGATATATTAGCTATGGCTAGACCCAGCACCGAAGTTATTGAAAAGTACAACGTTATTCAACAGTTTCAAGAGTAAGTATATCAGTTTATAAACATTGTAAATCAAAATTTCCAATGTAATTTTTGATATTTAATTATACAGACAAAATATAAAATCAATCATAAATCTGCAAATGCCTGGAGAACATTCTACTTGTGGCAATAATTTAGAATCTTCAGGATTCTCCTACGATCCTCAACTTTTTATGGATAATGACAGTAAGTACTATATTTTATGGTACTATTATTAAAAATCTTATTTGAATCATTGTGGCTCACTATACTCAACTGTTTTCCTTTGCATTACAGTCTTCTTTTACAATTTTAGGTGGTAAGTAAACAATTTTTTTTTTAAATTTAAATGTTACATTGATTTAAGAAATATCTCAGAGAAATATGCACAGTTTAATATTGATATTTTTGACTTTTTAAAATGTATTTTTATCACGTTTTTAGGAAAGATTACGGCACAGTATCTGAAGAAACCCTGTTAGATATGGTCAAAGTAATGGCATTTGCACTCTCAGAAGGAAAAGTAAGATCTTTCCATCAACATTATTACCTTGATATTCTTTTTCAATAGATTTCATAATATTAATTGTTACAAATAGGTTGCTGTACATTGTCACGCTGGTTTAGGACGTACAGGAGTTCTCATAGCGTGTTATCTTGTTTACTCTTTGAGATGTAAACCCAATGATGCCATTCGTTACGTCAGAGTTAAAAGGTTTAAAAACAAGTTTTATAACAAACTAATCGATTTAACTTATAGTAATTCTCTTGATTAAAAAAATGGTTTATGTATTGTGTAACTTTTTCTAACGTTAATTTTAGATATTAGGATATGAATTGATGGAATACATTTAGTCCCTGATTTAGCTAACTTCAGAATTATATAAAGCTTTTAATCTTTATGAAATATCTAGATTATTATAATGTTTATATCTATAATTTAAATTGCAGACCGCAAGCAATTCAGACAAGAAATCAAATTCAAAGTGTACAAAGATTTGCCCAATGCGTTATTCCTCTCTTCGTTGTATTTTCGAATGTGTTAGTATCGTGTTATTTATTAAAATTCATTAATTTGTTAAAGTTTATTATAAGATAAATTTAATTTTAATTTTAACAGTATACCAAAAGCGTTCGGATTTAACTTGAATCAATATTTAAATCGTCAAAGGCATCTCATCCATGGTCTTGAAGCTCGACATTTAAAATTTATTCCAAAAGTATTTATTTCTTCAAACTTTTATATATATATATTAACATAGAATTTTTAAAAGTGTATTTTATATGTAAAATTAAAATTTCAACATTTCAGCTGGTGTATATAATTTGTGAAAGATTATTAGTACTAGCAAACTGTCAGCCCTCTCCAAATGGTGAAAACTTGAATTACGATATCGAAAATGCGAACAGTTTTTGTAATTTCTTCCTATCCGCTTCATCTCCAGAAGATAGTAATTGGAGACCACCTTCTCAGCTCACTTTACAATTAGATGCTGATACTCCAGAAAAGAAGAAAGAAGAAGAAAACGGTAGACAAGGAAACTGTGGCCATTGCAGAGGTGACATGTCAAAAATAACGGGAAAGGGTGCTTTATATCAGCTTAGGAGATGCGAAACAAGATGTGATCAAGAAGAAACATTCTTTAACTGCGAAGAATATGTACCCTGTGACGGTAGAGGATCGAGTAGTCTTTCGGGAAGTAGTTCCAATCCCGAAGATGTTGGACATTTTACACAAAGCAGTAGTATAAACAGTGAAGATTTCGATACAGAAGCTAGCGACGATGGTATCGATTCGATGCTCATGGAAGAACCAACAACTGAAGATCTTTCGCAGAATACATGTTATCAAGAGTTGGCTTCTCAAATGGAATTAAGATCTTTAGCGGAATCAAACGCAGCAGCGGGGGAAGAAAATAAGAATAGTAACCTAGATTCTACAGATATTGTTAAAGCATTGATTGCTAGCCATTGTTTACTCGGTCCAGAATTCCAAAGTCATTTAAAGCAATATCAGGCGAGTTATTATGAAATTGTCATAGTTGTTATTGATATATAAATCAGTATTGATTAATTGATTAATTGTAATTAATATACAGAAAGATTTGAACAATCGAGGATCTGCTTGGGAACGTCTAGCTAAAGAATCGGATCCTATTTTGCTAACGGGAATTTTATGGAGCTGGCTGGATCACTTAAAGGTAATTGATTCAAAATTATAGTTGTTTAAACTTGTATTGTTTATTCTCTAAAATTGTTACGTATTGATTTCAGACACCGATTTTAAACAAGCAGGATTTAACTTATATAGTTTTAAAATCAGAAAAACCCGTTGATGCTTTGGCCAGACTCGACAAGGTATGAATTTTTTTTTTAAAAACCCTTAACTATTTTAAAACGATTATATATTTTAATCGACAATTTTTCATTTAATTTTAGGATACGCGCTTCACTATCGAATATTTAATACGTTTTGTCGCACGACTCGTACCCAATTCTTTAGAGCCTTGTGACGATCTGTTACGTCGTCTTGTAGCTTCTTTAACTCATCAATGTCTTGCAATTCACGGTGTCTTACATCCAGTAGGTGCTAAATGGTCTAAAATGAGGGAAGGAACGACGACTTTAGTCATGCATTTTGTGCGTGGAATTTATAAATTATCGTGTGGACTTCCTTTAGAAGAAGAAGAGTATGGAGGCCGATCACGTCGCAGAAAATCATATATGGGTATCAATCTTATGGCTCAAGCTATTGGAAAATCCAATGTTAGGTATGAAAAAACACGATACTAAATTAAACTATTTAATAAAAACTTTAAATATTCGTTCAAATTATCTTATGTTAAAAATCGATATGTTCTATTTTTACTTCGGTTAAGAAAATCTTTTGTTATATAAATGGCAGTATAAATTTAAATTATTCCAATTTATCATTAAACCATTAGCATATCCATATAAGTCTTAAACAATAACGTTTTTAACGATATTATCGGCAACGTATATCTAACGTTAAATGATTTATCTAACGAACGAAATTAAATAAATTTGCATAACTTATCGGAAAGTTTGCAATTTTAGCAATAACGAGGTTGCGGCCGAAGTTTTCATCTTTAAAACGTGAACGTCGAACGTCGAGCGCCGCTATCTTGTAAGCAGCGCTCGACGTTCGACGTTCACGTTTTAAAGATAAAAACTTGGGCCGCAACCTCGCTAATATCTTCTGTAATCTTAATAGTAAATTTATATTTAAGATAATGAGAGATTTCTAGATTTTATGCATGGAAATGATATCTGTTTTTCAGTTTTCTTCTAGTGTCTAACACTTAAATAGGGTCCAGCTTTCCATTAAAAAAAAGTCCTCCGAGCCCTCCTTTTGCCTTATCTTTTCATAAATAATATCGTTTCTATCGAAATATTTAAATTCGTTTATTTTAAATAGTTTAAACTATAATTAAGTAAAAGTTTTTTAAAAAATATAACAATATTTTAATCAATATTAAATATAAGTATTAATGTTTCACATGAATATTTTAAGTTAATATAAAAGAAAAAGTTGATACATTAATAATTTTTATGAATTATTTTTATATTTTTCTATATTTAATATAATCATTTACAATTCTTTATTTCTACAACTGATAATACATTGAATTAATAATTTATACTTTTTTAAACATAAGTCTAGATATAAAACTTACATTAAACATTATTATTTTTGTATAAATAGGAAAATAAATGATATAAAAGTACTGAATATAATCTTAATATAAATTTCTAACAATTTTTATTTTATTATTCTTTAAAGCAAACCAGAAGTTCAAGAACTTAAAAGCTTCTTTAATTTTGGATTCAAGAAAAAATGCTCATAAATTATAACTTATAAAACAATGAATATAAATCCAATTGTATGTGACAAACCGTTTATGCTCATCCATTCTGTACGATAATGTATATATATATAAATTTCCATTATTGGAAACTCATTAAGTATAGATTTAAAAAATCGTCATAAATAATGAAACATTCGACTGTAAATATTCGTAATTAGATACGTTAAATTTCATTGAAGCGGTATGTAATATTTTATATAGATACAAATGTCATCATTACTCGAATATTTCGTCCATTAAACGTTATTATAAAGTCGTAAAGACCTAACAAAATAATATATCTATAAGAGAATGTTTGTTCTTCCAGTATAAAAATTTATCAGTGCCTCTTATAGTAAGAGTTTTCCACAGATTTATCAGTTGGATTGAGTTCAAGGAAAGCACATCTATACTGTACATATCGTATGTTCTTCACGCATTATATACTATGTTTACAGTATATACTGTATTAGCAATATTATACACTTCCATTTATATATGTTTTTTATATAATAAAACTCATCGACTGCTGAGTTGTATTAAATTTAAGAGTGCCAATTTAATGGTTATGAACTTTTAAAAAAATAATAATAATGATGATACATTTAATTAATACGCTTTGTTTATTAATCAGCACTTTTGAAACATGTAAAAATATGTTATATGTTGTAATTTAAATAATTTTAAACAATAATATTAAAAGATTAAAAAATTTCAGTGATTTTGTTATAATAAAATTTATTTATTTTTATTATTTAATATTTTATTTAATTTTACAAATTTTTCTGAAATTAGAGTTTAAACTAATCGATTTTAGAACAGTTTAAAATCAGATTTAAGCAATTTCTCAAGTTTCAGATACCAAATAGGCAATAATAAATGAACAAAATTGCATTATTGTTTAATTTTACTTTGTCATTAACCATTATTTTCATCCGTCTTATGTGCTTAATGCAATATATCAGAAACTCTTCATCTGATATTACTGCATCTGGCCATAAAATAATTGAATTATCTAAATGGTAAATAGTAAAGGTTCATATAGAACTTTATCCTGAAGTTTTGTAGTTAATGGCTAGTTCGGAAGATACGAATAAATCCTCAGAACATTCTTCAGCTTCTACTGATTCGGATGATGATGAAGAATATGACGAATCCGAATCATCTGATAACTCTAACTTGCCTGAAACATCTTCCGATTCTTCGGAACGAGTTGATTATTCTTCTGAAAATGAAAACAGTTCACTTGAAAGAAATATTTTGCCGCCGAAAGGTATAATTATATAGAGTAAAATTTATACATTAATATCTATAAATTTATAATGCGATTTTTTTTATATAGATATAAGAAAAAAGCAAAATAATGTAAATTTTAGTAGAATATCCACAAATTATACACCTAGTATAGAACATTTAGAAAAGTTTTCTTCGATTTCGGACGTTTCAACTCCAACTGTTAAATGGAAAATTCCTTTAAAGGAAATAAATGATAGCGATTTATCTACATCAAATGAATATCGAATGACTTATGAACATTCGGATAATTTAGGAGAAGTCGGAAAGAAAAGTAAAAAGAAAACGAATAAAAAAAGTAAAAAAGGAAAAAAAGAATCAAAAGCGGTTAAAGTCAGACAACAACCATTTAGATTGCCCCACTTTTATCCGCCATATAGTTTTCCGGGATACAATCCTCCAATGGGTCTTCCTATTGGTCCTCCTTTTTTTCATGTTATAGAAGAAGAAGAAACACCTAAAGAAACTTATGTTAACGTCAATACTCAAATTCATCAACCGCCACCTCCACCGAAGCTTAATCTAGAAGATATCTTACAAGATCTGGAACAGTTCTCAAAAACGGACAAAAGATCTCCTGCTGGTAAACTGTACAAGAGTTTGAGAGATTATATTCGTTTTTTAAATGGTGAACAACTTTCCTCGGAAGAAAACTTGAAGGAAGCGATGTTATTATTAGAAAATATAGAAAAGAGAAAAAAGGTAAAAAAGAAACTTAAACAACAAAAGAAGAAACGAATGATTGCCGATTTAGCCAACGTACCTAAGATAATTGAAGGCGAATGCACTTGCTGTAAACCGAAAATTAAATTGCAGAATAGATTTTTGGAGAGTTTAGGAACACCCGATTATAATAGGAAGGATATATATGCGAAAAGAAGAGGTCCTACTATGAAAGTTAGACATCTTCCCGATCTATCTAGAGTTCTAGGCAAACAATGTGCATTGAGAACATCGAACCAAGTGGAATACGAAAGAGCTTTATTTAAGCCTGGTGAAAAGAAACCTATTTTAAAATATAAAATAGGAGATAAAGCCTCTTCGGAAGAACTTCTTCAATTACCCGAAGATACGAAAAGGAAACAAAGAAGAACGGATAAAAATAAAAAAGCTGGAATAAAAGCGAAAATTGGAATTGGATCTGAAGTAACATCGAAAGATATTACGAAACAAATAGGATTAAAAGAGAAGATCGACGAAGCTGTAAAAGAAAAAATCATGCCAGAAGGGGAAGACGAATTAAAAGAAAGGATAAAAGATATTATTTTAGATGAAGAAGAAATTCTGGATATAAATCTTGACGATTACGAAAAATATGTGGATAAAAAAGACATGCTTATGGCTAGATATAGAAAAGAAATATTAAAAAATGATATTTCTGATAAATACATGATGGACATAGTCATGGAAACTGAATTTGATAAACTACATATAAAAGAAAAAGAACCGATTAAAGAAAAGAAGATCCAAAAGCCACTCGTTATCGCGGTTAAAAGAAATTATCCTACTAAAGAACATCCTAAAAAACCTTTAGTTCGTAAACCAATACACAGACGTACATCTAGCGTAGGCGTAAATATCAATAAATCGTGTGCTTCTGTTCGTGTAAACGTGTCTAAAGAAAAGATCAATGATAGTGACCACTCGATTGATGTCAGGTATGGAACAGGTATTCACGAGTATAAACAAAAATACATGGATAAAGTGTACTTTGAAGAATTCAAGAATGTAGAAAATAATAATAAACGTCAACGAATATCGGTAAAATTACATAGCAGAGATTCGACAAGAAAATATTATATGCTCGATTCCAGCTCTGAAAGTCATATTAGCATTCACTCGTGTTCTGAAAATTGTAGAAGATATGACAGTTGTAATATATTATAAATGTAAATAGATAATGTTTAATTCAGAAAACTTAATAAATGTTAACCTAATAAAAGCGAAAAGAATTGGAAATTTAATGATAAGTCACTGTATAAACTGTGGGTAATTTGATCGATCAGCTGCCATAACAGTAAACAGTTTTTCAAACATATATAATTTAAACAGTCTTTGCATTTGTTTAAGTAAACATGGCCTGTTTTTTTTTAAACCAAAAAGTCTTCAGCTGTATTACAGTTATTATCTCATAGATCAAAAGCATTTGCTTAATTCTGAATTAAATGGGATAATTAAAATGGCCTTTAATAAGATTTATGCTTTCTATAAAATTTTTATTTTTGATTTTTAAAATACAGTGTTTAAGTACAGTCAGTTCTATAAAGTCATTTAACTTCTTCGTAATAAAGCGGCCGAATGTGCCAACGATAATCGAAAATCGATACAAATAAGATTCAAAAAAGCAGGAATAAATCATCTATTTTCTGACAAGATAAGAATAACTTTCGAGAGGAATGATCACGACGAATAAATGCGATTGAACGATGATAAGATTTGTTATCACTTTCTTTACTTTTACTTAAAACTTTTATTGCTTCTTATTGCAGAAGCTGGAGAGGAGGATTTCCCAACATGGGAAATCCTCCTGCCCAGCATATCGGAAATTATCAAGAGTCTAAGAAAGATATCGCTATTCGTTTTAATTCGAGATATTTTCGTAGTGAAATGCTTGCAATTTCTTTCAAAATCTTCATTCAATTCTTACGCTTCTTTTGGAAGTTAACCGATGGGAACCACCGATCCGTGCTTCTTCATTAAATATCCACGGATCAGGATAACGTATGAAGCCACTATTGAGTATTTCCTTCGTCATATTTTTTAATAATAGTAGTTTTAAATTGAAAATTTCATTACTTAATTAAATTTGAATAAGTTTTTACAGCAAAATGTTTAATTTTTATTTTAATTTCAACCATTCTAATAATAAGGTTTAATTTGGATCAGCCGTTTTCTATATAAAAAGAAATGAATAAAAATATTAAAAATTAAATGATTTGTGCTGCCATCTGTTATCTAAAGATATAAATTAGTTTTTTTTATGACGAAGATTTCTGTAATAGTATGTATTACTATAATTGTATTACACTGGAACCAAGTTAACTCGAATCGATTGGGAAAAAGATTCCAACTTCGAATTACGGATTAAAAATCAAGTTTTTGTGCATGGGTTTATCGGCGATTCATAATAAATTATTTATACGATATTTTCGTGAATATTATTACGTAGAATTGTTTTCCGAAAGATTTACATTGACACAACAAATCAGTCTCTTGAACTTACTGACATGTTTCCTCTGTACATTTTTGATGGACAAATGCAACGTTTCTTACATTTCCCACAATTATTAACTCCTTATTACTTCTTAGAAGGATTTTAACTTCAAAACTGTGATTCATAACATGACAAAAATCAAAATGTAGATTTTGTCACTGTAAATATTTTCACAAGTTTTCACAAACAAACTATAACTACGAGTAATTATTTATTGTGGCATTGTCACAATGCCGGGCTGCAATTTTTAATGGTATTTTTAAATCATTTAATTTAAAATATATGCTCTACAATTCAAGTCATAAATACAAGGAGAAAGAATGGTAGCTTCATCCCGGCTCAATTTGTTTATCTTCCGTGTCGGTTATCCTGTTGTCTCGGACTTCATTTTCGTTCGGCCGTATTATAAAGGTTTTTCGGTATTTTCAATATTAACTTTATTCAGTTTCATGTTGCATTAATACGCGAAACTTGCAACCCCGACGGCGATCGAGTAATCTTTCCGAAAAGTGAAATAAATCGAAATCTTAAGAATATGATTCATTTCATCCAATGGCCGAAAATGAACGAAAAAGATATTTATCAACTTATTCAAACGAATTTCGTGCAATACTGAAATCCCACCGAGATTTGTGCTCAGATAATTTATTACCATAGAAAATTTCCAGAGATTTAACAGAAAAATTCATCACAAAACAATTATTGATGCGAACGTCTGGAATTCCATTTAATCCATGCGAGTTGCAATTACCAGAGCCCCTTCGGCCGCTAATTTAAAGCGTTTTAATCTTTAAAATTGGCGTTTCCACTTCCCGGGAAGAGGACCTAGAAGGTTGGATTTGTGGAAAGCGAGTGTTCGGGTTGTTTCATTTTGTCGAATTATACAGAGAATGACTTGTAAGTGCGTGAATGCGAGAATTCGAGTAAAGGTTAAACGGTGTATATCTTCGAGTACAGTGATGCTGTGTCTGTGCGCGTGTGTGCATTTGTGTGATTCAAGAACATCTTTCGACATGTCTAAAAACAGAAAAACAGTAAATTACTATACGAGAATAAGATGTGTTAAAAAATTAAATGAAAGAGCTCTTACCATCGGAGATTTCGGAAAATATTCAGTATGATAAATGGCTACTTCATCCTCTTCGTGGTAAAGTTGGAGAGGGAAATTTTTCTCTTTCCCAAATGTTCCTAAAACACAAAGACAGTGAGAAAGCGAGAAGTTTATTTATTACCTAAGGTCAACATTATTACATTTATCAGACAATCTTTCTTCCCGAACAGGAAGAAAGATTTTACGAGAAGAGCGAAGGGCCTGACCTAGCCTAACCTAAGCGAAAACTCAATCCTCATAACGCCTGTTTGGGAAGAAAGATCTGCCGAATGTCGCGTCCGGTCAGTAAACGTGTCACGTCCGGGTGGTTAGAATCGGGAGTCAAATCCGTTGTCGTGGACCGAGTGTCGCGTTCGGAAGAACGTCCGAAGAACCCACCCTTCCTCCGCCGCCATCGTCTTCTTCCGTCGGAATCTTCTCCAGAAACACTCCAACATTTTCATTCTGTAAAGAAAAAAAAAAAAAAATTGCAATTATTCGAGTCAAAACAAAAGCTTAAATCAAAGCTCAAACTCCTCCGAGAAAAGCAAAATGCTCCCTAATTAAATCTAATAGTCCAATCGAATAAGCCGTCCATCGAACGATTCTTCCGGCAACATTAAATAAATGCTTACGTCTAGAGTCAATATGGAAGTCTTAGGCCCTGTACACACTAGTCGTTTTTAAACGCGCGTTTTAAAGAACCAAGAGTTCTATGTAGCCGTACACACTCAAACGCCAAGCGCACGTTAAACGCGCGTTTATAGATTTTTGTTAAAACGCGCGTTTTGCGGGCACTTTACGGGCGCTTTGAGATATATGTGCTGCCTTATAGCGACGATGGAGGAGCACACACAATCAATTACTTTCTNAGTGTATTTTATATGTAAAATTAAAATTTCAACATTTCAGCTGGTGTATATAATTTGTGAAAGATTATTAGTACTAGCAAACTGTCAGCCCTCTCCAAATGGTGAAAACTTGAATTACGATATCGAAAATGCGAACAGTTTTTGTAATTTCTTCCTATCCGCTTCATCTCCAGAAGATAGTAATTGGAGACCACCTTCTCAGCTCACTTTACAATTAGATGCTGATACTCCAGAAAAGAAGAAAGAAGAAGAAAACGGTAGACAAGGAAACTGTGGCCATTGCAGAGGTGACATGTCAAAAATAACGGGAAAGGGTGCTTTATATCAGCTTAGGAGATGCGAAACAAGATGTGATCAAGAAGAAACATTCTTTAACTGCGAAGAATATGTACCCTGTGACGGTAGAGGATCGAGTAGTCTTTCGGGAAGTAGTTCCAATCCCGAAGATGTTGGACATTTTACACAAAGCAGTAGTATAAACAGTGAAGATTTCGATACAGAAGCTAGCGACGATGGTATCGATTCGATGCTCATGGAAGAACCAACAACTGAAGATCTTTCGCAGAATACATGTTATCAAGAGTTGGCTTCTCAAATGGAATTAAGATCTTTAGCGGAATCAAACGCAGCAGCGGGGGAAGAAAATAAGAATAGTAACCTAGATTCTACAGATATTGTTAAAGCATTGATTGCTAGCCATTGTTTACTCGGTCCAGAATTCCAAAGTCATTTAAAGCAATATCAGGCGAGTTATTATGAAATTGTCATAGTTGTTATTGATATATAAATCAGTATTGATTAATTGATTAATTGTAATTAATATACAGAAAGATTTGAACAATCGAGGATCTGCTTGGGAACGTCTAGCTAAAGAATCGGATCCTATTTTGCTAACGGGAATTTTATGGAGCTGGCTGGATCACTTAAAGGTAATTGATTCAAAATTATAGTTGTTTAAACTTGTATTGTTTATTCTCTAAAATTGTTACGTATTGATTTCAGACACCGATTTTAAACAAGCAGGATTTAACTTATATAGTTTTAAAATCAGAAAAACCCGTTGATGCTTTGGCCAGACTCGACAAGGTATGAATTTTTTTTTTAAAAACCCTTAACTATTTTAAAACGATTATATATTTTAATCGACAATTTTTCATTTAATTTTAGGATACGCGCTTCACTATCGAATATTTAATACGTTTTGTCGCACGACTCGTACCCAATTCTTTAGAGCCTTGTGACGATCTGTTACGTCGTCTTGTAGCTTCTTTAACTCATCAATGTCTTGCAATTCACGGTGTCTTACATCCAGTAGGTGCTAAATGGTCTAAAATGAGGGAAGGAACGACGACTTTAGTCATGCATTTTGTGCGTGGAATTTATAAATTATCGTGTGGACTTCCTTTAGAAGAAGAAGAGTATGGAGGCCGATCACGTCGCAGAAAATCATATATGGGTATCAATCTTATGGCTCAAGCTATTGGAAAATCCAATGTTAGGTATGAAAAAACACGATACTAAATTAAACTATTTAATAAAAACTTTAAATATTCGTTCAAATTATCTTATGTTAAAAATCGATATGTTCTATTTTTACTTCGGTTAAGAAAATCTTTTGTTATATAAATGGCAGTATAAATTTAAATTATTCCAATTTATCATTAAACCATTAGCATATCCATATAAGTCTTAAACAATAACGTTTTTAACGATATTATCGGCAACGTATATCTAACGTTAAATGATTTATCTAACGAACGAAATTAAATAAATTTGCATAACTTATCGGAAAGTTTGCAATTTTAGCAATAACGAGGTTGCGGCCGAAGTTTTCATCTTTAAAACGTGAACGTCGAACGTCGAGCGCCGCTATCTTGTAAGCAGCGCTCGACGTTCGACGTTCACGTTTTAGAGATGAAAACTTCGGCCGCAACTTCGCTAGTTTATGGGGTTCGTAAACTTGGGCAAGAATAAATTACCTTATTATTTTCACTAACCCCTAACTGAAATTTAGCATTTCCTTCAAATACAGGAAAAATACATCCACTAGGGGACTTTTGTCACTTTTTTGCTTGGAGGAAGCGAATGTTCTTCGCTGTCGCTTAAATTCTTTTCCAATAGACACATAATAACACCAATTTTTATAACAATAATAATCCTCTGTTTCTTATTTAGACCTAAAGTTTTACATTGGCACTTTTCTGTGCAGAAAAACTTGTTTTACAATACACACAACTATTACTTCATCATCTATCGCAACGACACATCACATGATGTACTAAATTAAAATACTGTAGTACAGTTGAATATTACTATCTGTTGATGATGTATTTTATTTTGCTTTAATTATTAACATAAAATATTATCCATATTTCGAAACCGTGTTGTATCAATATCTTTATATCTGTTTAAAAAACTGCAATGTAGCACAGTAATCAACACATGGCATAACTCATTCATTTATTCCAGCTTTTGTTCAGACGCGTTTCTATACACGTTTCGGGCTATACACGTTTCTATACACGTTTTTAAACAGATAAAATATTATCTTGATATGCCAATATTAGACAAGAGAAGTTAATAAATGGCAAGGCTACTCGTAAACTTTGGATTTAGGGACTATTTAAATGGGGGTTTATGAATTTTACATAGAAAATCATTTTAAAAAAAATTAATCAGATTGGTAAAGGAGATGATTTAAATTTGTCAGTAAGAAAAAGTTTAATTGCTATAATAATAACAGATTATTTATAAATGACATACGAGGGCTGTTCGGAAAGTTCGGGGCATCAAATAGAACAACAAACAAAATAATGTTAAAACTTTTTTTATTTTTCAATGTAGTCTCCTTTGTTAGCAATGCACTTATTTCAGCGATGTTCTAGCTTTTTTATGCCATTACAATAGGTCGATTTGTCAAGGTGTGCAAAATACTCGTTTACTTCAGAGATGACTTTGTCATTTGAGTGGAATCTCTTTCCAACCAAGAATTATTTTAAATTTGGAAAAAGGTGGAAGTCACTGGGGGCCAAA